TTATCTGTAACTATTGAGCAAACTTTGCATTTCAATTCGCCCTCACACTTCTTAATGCTATCATATGTAATTAAATCAAGGTAATCTGCAGTCTGAGCATGGGCTAATGTATCAAAAGTTTTCCATAAATAAACTTCACCAGACTTTGTGGTAACCATAACACACACCGTTATGTACATTTGACCAACCATCAAAACCTAAGCAAACAACTTCATTTTGTAAAAAATCGCAAAATTTTTACATTTCCTCATCATAAATATTGTCAAGCAAGCGTCTGCTTATATCTCTTCAACTAGGTGGCTTGTAACCAGGTCGACGTTCTTCTATGAGACGAATATATTGTGGATGGTCAAAATGTTTAAATGGCGAATTTGTAGCAAATGTATAACATGCTATTTGCCTATATAAAGTCTCCTTTTGGTTTTGTATTTGTTTTGATAAGAAAGAATTCCACAGAAATTTCAGTTTTGTGTCTTTTCTATTTTAAGCTACTAGTTGAGATGATTGGGGATTAGAAGAAGTACTTGGACATCATTGCATATCTGTCTTCAGTGCCTGCACTATCATTTCGCTCAAATGAAACAAAGAATGCAGAAGAGGAGAAAGAAGAAGCCCCATCAGAACTCACAGTTTCTTGAGTATCTGAAAACAAGAAAAAAAATTTTTTTATGAAACAAAGAAGTTTGTAATAGGGCTAAAAGAAACAAAAAATAAGGCATAAAAAGCTTCTAGTTCCTTATACTTTTATAAAAACTTATTTAATAGATTCACAAATACAAAATACACAAAAATGGGGAGAAACAATAGAAACAATTAATATTCAACTATAAATTTATAAATAATGTATTAAAAAAAAATAAAATTTGGGTTTTATTTCTTTTTGTCATACTTCTGCTATCTTAAATTTTAAAAATGCAGGAATATCAAAATGTCTAGTTATGACCACATCACAAGTCAAATTTTAAATGACTCTGACATTAATCAAAATTTGTAATAAGTGAAGAAATATGCCCATAGGCCAGCTAGATAATACAACAGTTCGTGTATAAAAATGTAAAAAATTGATATTGTGAATTATTAATTTGGCATGTTAATTTAATAATGTTCATTTAAATAGTATAGGAAGAAAGTATGAAAATACAGTGCAATTTAAGAATTTTTCTTACCTCCAATGTCATCATCATTATCATTATTTCCAGAAGAACATTTGATTAAGTGATTCTTCATTCTTGATACCTAACCCTCTAAAGTTACCACACATTTTTTACACTTTTCTCTTTCACCTTTTCTGCTGCTAAGTTTAATACTTTCAAAGGAATACCATACTAATTCATGTCTTCGTGTATTTAAACCTGACATTTTCTCTTTGATCCAATTCAATTTAATAATCACTACACAAGCGTTTTTATAAATATTAAAATAACTAAAATAAGTACTAAATGGCTAAGTGCCAAGTCAAAACTATAAACTATTATGCGGGAATTAGTGGTGGGTAGTTCCGGAACGAACTAGTTCCTGGAACTAGTTCATTTTATATTATAAATGAAATAGTTCCGAAAATTAAATGGAACTAGTTCCGAGGAACTATTAACGTCACTCCTGATTTTCTATTTGATACCGTCATTTGTGCGCGAACTGCATCTCTAAGTATTTCTTCGATCGACGAAAACGAAAAAGGAACTAGTTCCGAGCCGGAGCCGATTAGTGGATGAACTAACATAATTCCGAGAAACGAGGAACTGTATGATAATCGTGATCGGTCCGGTAAGCGATGCTTGATCGTTGGCTGTAACTTCAGCTTGTAGGTACATACGTATATACATTATACTGTGCTTAGATTAATTTATTATAATTGTGTGTAGTAGCCGTGTTATATTTATGTTATAGTTATTGTTAAATTATTTACTGGTCATGATATTTTTAGAGTTTAGTTTAATTGTGATTTAATGATTAAATTTTAAGAAATTCTTACGCTTATAGTTTCAAAAGTAAATATTTTTAAAAATCATATGATACACATCAGTATGATCCTGTTTCTCTTTCACGTGCTTGTATTGACAATTGGGAATATGTAAAATGAATGTAGTTCTTACACCCAACAATATAATTAAATTTTAAATTAAATTTTGTTTATAAATAAATCTTTGAAGAACAAGAAATTCTTAGAGAGAAAATAAATAAATAACAAATCAACAATCATAGAAAAATAATAGCATTTTGATTTAAAATTCAGAAAAATATGTTTAGATAAAGTAAAAAACCACTTCGTTATTTTCGTGAAATAATTATTTAAACCAATGCCTTCGAATTTAGTTTCCCATCGTTTACCATATTTTACTTTTATTTTATTTGTGATGTCGAATATCGAACCTAAACACTCGATCCGATTCATATCAAGATTGATCATACCGATCTGATCGCAGAGTTAGTCATAGTTCCAAAGAACTAGTTCCAGGAACTAGTTCCTTTTTAGGAACTAGATCTAAGGAACTAGTTCCTAGAAAGGAACTATGAAGCCCACCACTAGCGGGAATCACAGAAGATCAACTTGGGAATCCCCTGAGCCACCTGATAGCCACACCAAGGAATGCTATGGGGTAACCACCTTCTTGTTGAATAATAATAAAATACAATAGAGATATTCAAAAAGGATCTCCATCAGCACCAGTCTTGAATTATTATATTTTTGTTGAGATAACAAAATTAAGAAAAATTTAAATATATATTACTGCTGTAAAATTACAGTTATTTTAATTGTTAGTATAATTTAAAATATAATAATTTAAAAAATATATCATCAAAAGCTGTAGTTTTCATTATTAGAGTAATATCATCAGAGAAAAAAATCAATAAAAAACCATGATTTACTTGGTTTAAACATGCCAACCCTGGTTCAATCCCTGGCTTGTAAGCAATAAAATCCTACACAACAACTCAGCTATACCTTTGGTGGAGGAAGAAATCCGAAGAATATCAATAAACTATCTTACTGAATAATCTATGAATAACAGACAAGAAAAGTGTATAAAAGGAGTGCTTTCAGACAGCTTTACAACAGATTTACTAAGTTTCAAATGAAGCAGATTGTAAATTAAATTGTAATAAAATAACTAAATAGATAAAGAAAAGATTTTTTATTCTTAACATTATTTTTAAATGTATTTATTTTATTTATTATTTAAGAGTATTCTTGCTTTTTATTTAATTTAATTTTTTAACATGGAGAAATGTTGACATTAAAAGGAATTTATTTTATTAAATGGCATTATTATTTGTCAAAATGTAACATTATAGCCATTATCAAGGAGTGTACTCTGTCACTTTTATATCCATTGTTTAAATCAGTATCCATGTGGATTGTAATGAATATTAAAATAGATAATTATTTTTTTTTTTCAATTTATTTTAAAAACTTTAAGTAACAAATTGGGGAAAAGCATGCACTGATAACCAAACACTATATTTGAATGAATACAGAATTAAACTTCACAAGTTACCAAAAATTCGGGACAGAAAATATCAGAAGTATCAAGACATAAAATAAATATGGAAAGATCAGGAGATAAAAAATTAACTAATAAGCAGGTAAGTGATTTGAATATATGAGTAGCCTGAAAAAATTTAAGACATTTACCTTATGTATCTGCCTTACAATAAATACACATTTTTTTTAGCTAGAACCACTAAATGCCAATTGAATGCTTAATGTTAACTCACCCAAATTTAATATGACTAAACACCATGATTAAACAGAAAATGGAAATATCAGCATATTACAATAATTAACATCCTCAGTATTTATAAATTTAGCATAGAAGTGATAAATGAATGTTATTGTTTACTGATCACCTCACTTTTAGATGTCATATAATATAAATTGGCTTTGATCCTAACATTTCTATGCCGAATAAGGGTTCAATTAATGTTTGTAAAGGCTGAAGGTTGCTTACCTTGGTTAATATCAAATCTGCTCTAAAAATGTAAACTGTGAGATCTGAAAAAATAAATATCAAGGTTAAAACGTAAGGCCACAGTTAACAATTATAATACTACACGAAATTGTGCAAACAACTATAGCGTGAAAATCGTTACGTAAAACAAGTACAGCAAAGCTTTCATTTTCATCTTGAAAATTAAAATAATATACAGCTAACTAACCTTACCCTTTCTAGAATAAAATACGTCACTGCCAATAATATATTTTCAGCACTTTGCAAGCTTGGTTATTGCATATTATTAAACATAATCTGTAAAATCATTAGGAACAGCAGCTTTTACCCTTACAACAATTAATAATAATATTTTTGTGAATGTGAATGAATTTTAGTACTATTTTACAAAGAAAATTTTCATTTGACATTTGATGGATCTTGTCAATATCTAGTCGCTTTTCCAAAACCTTGTGTATCTCACTTAACTGTTCTATGATTTGATAATAATCACAGAACGTTAAAATTATTATTAAAAAGCTTTCTTTCCCATCGGGGAAAAGGAAGAGGGTTTTCAAAACCTTTTGAAAATCCTTGTATTTAACCGATCTATTTAACTACTTTTTCACGCTCTTTTCATTTGTGTTTTACATTTGTGTTTTTATCCTTAATATAATTTTATTAAACTATAATATTGATACTAGATTTAATTATTTATTCATATTTAATATTAATTTAATTTGCTTCCAGACGTGTCAATTTTCGAGTAAATTTAAAAATTTGATTTACATCTGTATTGTGAGTATGTAGCTGGTAATTCACTAAGTATTGGCAACGTATAGACCAATGACCAATGACGTATACGTCATTTTATTAGACACAATTCATGACACATGACACAATTACATCATAAACAAAATTCATTTTTAAATATGGAGTATTCCTACCTATTTTTATACGTCAGACTAAGATAAGATGCAAAATTATTTGTAAAGTTTACACTTTGTTAATTTAAGTATTGTATTATTTATTTATATACTATTTTTACTAATTAGACGAAGAAAAAGAAACATGACAGTGATCAAGGAAAAACAGAACTACAAATATCCTAGTCCTAATTCTGCTGCAGCTTCAGATACAGAATCTCTACAGTAAGTCTGGTCGTAATAAACATATGTTCTTACCATTCCATTCATATCATATACCAGTATCAGTACTATATGGAGGTCGCAGTTCCCTTTATACCAGAAATAAGTTGTTTTTAGACCCATTACAAAGGAATATTGCCCATTTATCCTTTCAAAGATAACTGCATCTAATTACCCATTGTTCTCCAGATTCTTTCTTCTATAAGAGGTTGGATAAATGTATTAGCTGCCTTTCTAAAGATCTCAATTGCTCATTACCTAAAAGATTTCTAGCTGTGAAATTTCTGTACACTTAATGTTATTGCTAATAAACTGGGTAGTAAAAATAAATGACAGACTTACAATCTAGGGATTTAGTTTCAACCACTACATTTTTCTGGTCATCATCAGGTCATTGGTAAAGTACAATCTTCATACAGCAAAAAAATTACATTTTGTAATACTACTAATTTAACCAAACCTTACCTCAGATATGGTAGAAATGGTGCCAATATTACTTATATTATTTAAAAATTGAGGGGGGTGGTTTTTTATTTAATGACAGGGTGAAATTAGTATATAATAATATAAGCAGTACTTAAATTCTGGTACAAGGTCTATTGTTAAGATGGCATGTTTCACTTGTACTTTAGCATAAATGAGCATTTGCAAACTGAAATTCATAAGAGGGTCAATGGCCTCAGTTACAACCCAATCTGTAGAACTGGAAAAAACTAAATCTAAAAATATATTGTGATCATTTGGTTATGCTGAAAAATTCTATTATAACTAAAAGATTGAACCACATCAATTGCCTGATCACCCGCTGGATAAATAATATACATAAATGATGATTTTTCTGCTATTATTGATTTGTTTATAATTATAATGAGTAATTAAACAATTAGTAGACATTGTATCTTATCTTCTTCAACATTGGTCACAAATTTCCCCTTTTTGCATATTTGATATAATATTTATCAAAACTGTGTTAAATAGACTTTATTATATAATTATTATGTATTATAAAGGACTAACAAGTTATTGAATTCTTTTTTCTATTCGTAAACAGGAGGACGCCCCAAAAGTATCATACCTTCATCCATAACTTTGCATCGAAAAAAATAAAATATTGCTTCAATCAGCTTTCAAGTAACCAAATATCTATTGACAATGACTGCGTTTATGCAAACTATATGTTTAAAAGATACACGAATCAGTGGTTTATGAAACAATTTGGTTGAACCTTGTGCAAGTTTTTGAAAGTTCACAAGGTTAAAGAATTCTGCAAATCTTTGTTTAGTCCTGGCATAGTACTCTGTTACTGTTACTTTTTCATACTTCCAAAAATTAAAGTATTGCATAAAGAGCATCGTTTCAACAACTTGCTTCAGATCTTACAACATCAAGGGATGCAATGTTGTTAAGTTGAATGTTCTTTGAAGTATGCCACGATGTATATGAAGACAGCATTGTATAGTTATGAATAAAGGTTGGATACTTATCGGGCAGACCTCATAAATTAACATATATTAATTTCAGTTTGGGAAGTGTATCAGCCAGTGATACAGAATCTGTTACTGAAGAGCCACTGCAACACAGGATTAGAATAGTGAAGCCTAAAGTAATTAAACCATCTCAGGTTGAAGAATTGGTAAATTTAAAAAAGAACTCTGGAAGAAAGAAGTTAAGAAGATACCAAAATAGTATAATGGTATTTAATTATATAGATCAATATTTATTTTAATTGTTTTAGGATGTATCTTGCAAACATTGAGCGAGGAAGATGAAGAAAATGAAAATATGGTTGTGATTATGGAAAAATACAAAGGTCCTTTTGCACGTCTTTTAGGTGATAAAGAGGCGTTTGAATATTGGCAACAATTTATAGAGAAATCTGAAAGTGAACAATTTGAAATCCTTCAAGCTTTAACTGAAAAATATCCCAATGAGACAGTAAGCATGTTATTTTAGTGTGAATTCGCTCCTCGCCAAATTATTTCATAATTTTATGTTTTGATAAATTTTTAAAGAGCTCAATAAAAGAACATATTTTCTCTTCATCACAAAAAATATGCGTTAGATGAATAAAAATTAAACCAACCAATGTTAGTGAGAACTATCGATCTGTATGTTTTATCTTATTTAGGCTATGGTGCCTCTTCAAAGGTGGGGTTTGTGAATAATTGGGAAACGTGAATCTGTGTATTGCCGCTCTCCTCGACCTTATGTAGTGACTACAAAGCAGTAAATGTCAAAAGGATTTTCTACCTTTTTGGATGCCGGTTGGACCAAGCCCGCTGCTAAGTACAAGTTCCATTGGATGAAATGGTTCTTTTTAGATTATTGGCCTTTTGTTTTGTTCGGTTTAAACGAGTGGAGGATAGCTGTGGCTATGTCCTCACCTAGGATCAGGTGTCGCTGTGCAATTAAATTGGGAAACCACAGAAAACCAATGTTTACGGAATTGTTATAACAGGAAGTAGATATGGCATTTAATGAATTGCACATTTGGTTTAAATAACTGATTGTGTCACTCCTCTTTTCAGGGAAGTCATTAAATAGGATCATGGATGTAAAGTGGATTAAGAATTTCATTTCCGAGGATAAGTAGTATGAGAAAATTTGCTTTGGAGTATGTACGGGTTGTGTTTGTTTTGTGTTTTTTGGTTGGATTTTTCTGTATGGACATTTTTGTGAAAATGCCGGTTGGTTTCCATTACAGTTCGGACATTTGGGAACATCTATCGTGGGGCGTGCAGTAGACCTGTGTTTTTGTCCACAATATGGACAGATAATAGATTTTTAGGGGCATTAGTTGCTGAGATGTCCGCTTTTGCAACATCTCGAACAGTATTTTAGCTGAACCGGATGGAATTGTTCGGTCTTGGAATCTCAATTTAGTCGTTCTCCTTCGATCTTAATATCATTCGTGAGAGTTTGTAAAAATTCTAACGAAAGAGGTGGGTTGGTTTGTAGAGCGGACAATTATACGAACTATTTTGGTGAATGGGAATTTGTTTTCGGATGGGTTATCCTCGATATCTTTTTGTGATAGATTTTTGTCGACGCCGGCAACGACTAAGTGGAAGTTTTATCGATAATTTGGAGCGGGTTGCGGATTAGTTGGGCATTAAGATTTGGGTTTGTACCCTGAATTTATGCAGATATTGCTGTCTTCTGTGATTTGGCGTAGTTTTGCCGTGAGATTTCTGAGGTCTAGAAGGTTGGTAGTTCGTATAGAGGCTGCGAAGACTTTTATTGAGTCTAAATCTGGGATTAGATTGATTTCTTTGATGAGTCGACAGAATGGACTCTGTTGACAGATATCTGGGGGAATGTCATCGATTCTGTAATTTTGGATGGTGTGTGGTGGTTGTTGTGTGCTTTATGTAGTGGGTTGTGTGTTTTGGGTGTGTGTGTAGTGGGCACGCTTTTTGTATTTTTATGTCTTTGATTTGTGTGGAGCTGAGTGGTGATTTTGCTTTGTTTTCATTTGATTGTATGTTATGAATGTTTGATGTAATGTGTTTGCTGGCCAGTTCACGAATTTGAAGGCAGATTTATTTTAACGCCTGCCCTTATTCCTGTTCTGTCCGTGGTTCGTGTCCATTTATGGTTAGAGACACTTGTGATGTGGATCTTGTCTTCGTCTGTGTCTGGTGGTTTTGGTTGTTCTTTTTTTTTGATCGTGTTCGTGGTATGTTTGTATGGTGTGTTGGTTGTGTGTGCTTGAGTATATATGTATATATATAATTTTTCTAGAAAAAATGTAACAAAATTTAATATTTCCTTTTATTTTTAGGTTGTAGAGAATTTTAAAACGGACAGTCCTGGTAAAATTTCGTCCAGAATTAGACGTACCTTTAAAATAAGAAAAAACCTATCTTTGGAAATCGTCCAAATGTGTGAAGAAGATCTGTTAAAATTTTTTAAAACAAGACCTGATGATAGATATGTGAAAGTTCCTCCTACGAGTTTCGAAAGACTTTTAATACATGCAGTTGCTCAATATCATAAACTTAAATCAATAAGTATGTTTTTTTTTAATATTTTTACGAAACTTCTAAGATTATTGCCAAACATGATTTTTTTATTAACCGCGACAATCACAAAGGTTATTAACGGTGGAACTATATGATATTACAAAGTTACAACATGGTGCAATAGTCTAGTGTCGCGTAAAAAGTTCATTATGTTATCACTGTTTTGAAAGAGTTCATTGAGATATATGAGATTTTAATGTGAGAGAACGTTTCGAACGAAACCTTTATCATTGTAGAACGCCGGAAGTCATCGGTTTCAACATTTGGTCAACTAAAAAATCAATGACAAGCTAAAATTATTAATTTTAAAATGTTGTTAAGTTGTTCTATGGGTTCAGAGATTGAGTGAAGCACGAAGAGTTTAACTAACTTTATTTAATCCAAAAACTTTCTTCATTACAAATATCACAAGTACTAATTATATTAATAATTATCGCTTAGAAGATTCGCATTGTTTCGTAGAATCGCCAACACTAATTTCAGAGCCCGCCCCTGCTGGCTTATATAATGAGAACGAATTCTCTCTAAATAGCAGGCGGAGGGACGGTCGAACCATCGGGATGTGCGGAATTCTCGAAGGCCACAGTTCGGCGCCGGTCATACTTCTGGAATTTCGCTAACGCACAGGGCCATAATCATAGGAATGTGACTCAAAACAGTATGTTTTTATTAAATAAAACAAAGTATTGGATCAAATTTAAAGACTAATTTTAAGAAATTGCAAGGGGTTTAAAACGATATCTTCATTGACCTTCAGAACTGTGACAAGCGAAAACCACACTATTCAACATCGTACTAGAGAAACATTGAAGGCTAGCAGGATTAAAGGAACTATAGTCCACTCCTTAACACAAATAGTAGCATATGCAGATCATATAATTCTTAAGGGAAAATATAAGGATAGATTAAAAGAAGCATTAACAAGCCTGAAACGAAGGAAAACAAAGTATCTAATATGTTCTAGAAGAGAAGATAACAAGAGAAAAAAGATGGAAATCTGCACTTTTGAAAGAATTCAACAATTGAATGCTTGGGAGTAACTGTGAATGGAAAAATAAGAGAAGTGAAGAAGTAACGTAAAAATATACGGAGTTGCAATCAGACCAGTACTCACATACGCAGCTAAGACAATGTGCCTTAGATAAAAGTGAAGAAATATTAAGAATATTCTAGAAGAAAATCCTCAGAAATCCTCAGGGGAAATAAGAAGATGGTTCATTCATCTTTCTACTTTTAAAAAGGCTTTATGCTTTTTAAGCTTTTATTAAGAAAAAGAATTATGCTTTCTACTTCGAAGTTGAATGTGTATTGAAGAGGATTTGCAAAACTAGATTTAAAAATACCTTGGATATTAACGATAAAACGATCAGAATTGTAACAGGCAAATCGGAGGGAGGGTTTTTGAAAGAAGACCAAAGAGGGAAGCATAACAAACACTTTACAACTGGCGAAGCTATTAAAAACATAATTAGCGATCATATAAAATCAATACCTAAAATAGAAAGTCGTTATTTGAGGGACATACTTCTCGCGAATATATTGTGGAGTAAAGACCATTTTTGATTTGCATAGGGATTATGTCGATCAGTGCAAACGAGATGGTCGAAATTATGTAATGTATATGGATATTTAATGGTGCCGTGAATACATTACATAATTTCCATTATGTAGTATAATAGATTTAACACTTCAACTTGGGTTTTTGCGCCGAAAAGGGACAGATGTGAGCTTTGCGTAGCTGATAAAAACTCTAATTTAGAAGACAAAGAAAAACTTATAGAAAAAAAATATATTACGATCACGTAACAGAAAAACAATTATCAAGGTAAAAAATAAATACAAAAAAGCTGTTAAAATAAGCAAAGACCTGATGATTGTGGCCGTGTATGACTTGCAGGCTGTGTTGCAGTTACTTCGAAGCGATGTTTTTTTTTTTTTTTTTAGTACAAGAATAAACTAAATAATATGAATTTCATGACAAGTAAATTGAAAAAAGCATAAGTCAAAAAAATTATGTGTCAGAGAAAGCAACCAATAACGAGTAGTGATGGTACTATTGAACCACTTGTATTTTACACTGTTAGAGAGTGCTACTTTTGGCACGAGGGTGAAGTGAAAAAATACAAAAAAAAAATAATTTTAAACTTAACTATCGTCTACTTTTAAATCGATATCACTATCATCTCTATCGTTTAAATATATAACTACTCTATAATGTTTTGGAACTGTAAATATTTTTCTTCTAGTTTTTTGACATGCTCTATACATTGTTTCCAATTATCTGCTGTAATATTATTTCATTCGGTCTTAATTAAATCTACAACAGTCGACAATGATTTAGGGGAATTATTATTTTTCCTCACATTACTTTTTAATTGAGACCACAACAATTCTATTGGATTCAGTACACAATAGTAAGGAGATTTTTTTTAACATTTAACTAACTTTAATAGTTCTACAAGTTGTTTTTGTGTAAGAATCCATAAAATATATTTTATGTTTTGATAAAAATTCTTGAATTTCAACTTTGTTTGAATTCAAGATACAAGAATTCAAAATACCGCGAACAGAAAATTAAATATTCTCGTCGGATTTCGCGGAAATATATGTGTGAGAGAATTCGCCCCACGTGGTATCGAGTGTTTTCACGTTCTACAAATCTGATTTTATCAGTTTAGACGAGAATTTTGGAAATTGGTTACTAATGACTGTACTAATTACTTGCCATGATGCGCAGTCGGACTCTTTACATATTAAGGTACGATTCCGAACACGACTGCAGACCGCAGCGACAGACCTATTGGTTCATATAGTTTCTTATGAGCTGTATGTCGAGTAGAGCGGCACTGTCGCCACCGCAAGCAGAACGTCGCAACCGCAGACAGCAGGACTACACCAGAACCAGTAGTGTCGCCGACCGCAGAGTGACAACGCGTATTTTTGCTGTTTGCAAATTGACTGAAAAGTGAAAAGAATTGAATATCTTTTGAAAATGAGTTTTTCAAATGAAGAAGAAGACCAGTTAATTAATTTTGTAACAAAATATTCCGTTATTTACGACGTACGCCACGTTAATAAGTATCGTAATAATGTTATTAAAGAAAACATTTGGAAAACTTTATGACAGGAGCTAAATAAAAGCGGTATGTATTTTTATTTATTTATTTTGTTTATCGTTCAGAATTAATATCATCTTCTTGCCATGCAACTGCACCATATTCACTACAGAAAAAGTCTTTAAGTTTGTCTCTAATTTGGAACCCTTCGTTATTATTAAATCCACCGTGTCGAGTAAAGCATAGCATATTATCGTGGCTGGGTTTTTGTTCATTGTCATAATTAAAAAATAGATAGTTATTTTCCTCGAGATAACCATCACGAAGAAGATTGTGTACAACAAGCTGTCAATATTAAATCATCAACTATATCTGGGGCAATAGCAATAGGTGTATAAAACACCCTAAACACTTGACTTAATAACCCAAAAGCGTTTTCTGTCACACGATGACCTCGGCATAATCTATAGTTATAGATTTGTTTCTCTCTTTCTAATCTAGCCAACCTGCTAGAATAAGGTTTCATCATATATATATATATATATATATATATATATATATATATATATATATAAATCATATAGTTTTCATCATATATCATATTACTTAGAGCAAATGCTTCGTCTCCAATTAAGAAGTGTGCTAATATTACCTGAGTACCCGTTAAATTTTTTGGTGGTGGTATATTTTATACTATTTTTAGGTGCTTTGATGCGCACATGTTTACCTTCAATCCCTCCAATGCAATTTGGTATGTTCCATTTCTGACAAAAAGCTTGTTCGACACATTTAAAATCGTTTTCTGTAGGTAAAGTCATTAATACTGGCAATAATTTATGTTTTAATCACTTTAATACACTTTTCACAATTCTGGATATGTAAGATTCCGATATACGGTATGCAAATGACAATGATCTGTAACTTTCACCAGTAGCTAAGAATCTGTAACAAAAAATATTATTCAAACCTAAATTACTTTTTATTTTCAGGTGGCGAGTGCAAAAAAATGGATGTTTATTCGTGATGGGTACAACAGATTAAAAAAAAAGTACAAATTAGGTAATGGTTCGGCTGCCCCTCCGAAAAATTCTAAAGAGGAGAGACATCAACAGCTAAAATTTCTTTACGGTGTTCCCAACCATAGAACCGGAGTATCCAATGTACCAATATCGCCAAGAGAACTGCCAAACAATGAAGAAGATGTTGATCTCAGTTTGACAAATGATGATTGTAATCAACCTACAGATCTTTTATCCGGTAATACCGAAAATAAAAAAGTGACGCCGAATCTGCAGCAGTTGTAAATATTACAGAATCATCTCAGAAGTCAAGGAAACAAATTAAAATTGGAGGTAAACGTAAAAAGACGACGATCTGCTAAATATTTGGAAAGAAAGAGTTAAAAATCGAGAGACATTTTTTAAATCAATTATCAAAAAAAGAAAACATGATGATGTAGAAGCATTTTGCCATCACATTGGGGAAGTCTTACGAAATTTACCTTCTGTGGAAAAAGCCGAAGCAAAAAAACATTTAAGTATGGTTTTGTCATACTATGAAATCAAGGCCGCACGAAATGCATGTGCAACTCAAGGTTGCTCATCTGGATCTAATTGTGCATCATTGCAAAGCTCCTCAGATGAGTTGCCAGGTCCAAGTTGTTCACCACATTACCCACCTTACACACCAGGATCAGTTCACTGTCGGTCCAGTGATTGTTCTATAATAAGTGCTACAGGGACCACACCAGAACCGACAGATTTATCAGTACGGGACAATGAAGCAACTCCATTTTATTTACTTAGTTTATAAACTTATGCTATAGATACTGTAAATATTTTTTACAGTAGATAATACTGGTATAAGATAGTTATAAAATTTGATATTTAAAAAGTTTGTTTAAAGTAAATTAATAAAATAAAAATAAAATAA